AGCAAGACACTGTTTCTAAATATAATATACAAAGGACTGGGGATGTGGCTCAGTGGCTAAGCTCCCCACTGGGTTCAATATTCAGTGCCAAATATATGAATAAAAATGAATGTTTTTGCTTTATTCTGAGAGGGATAGGCCTTTGCCAGGCCCTGTTCCCACATAAAACATTTCATCTGCCTTATAAAAACTCATTTTTATTAAGAATCAATCTTGATGGGTCTTGATCTCTTCCTTCTATCCTTTCCAACTTACTACTTAAATGAAAGTGTTACTAACGTTTTTCTTAGGAAACTCACTTAACCAGTGGCCCTTTCTCTGCCTACATGTTTTCTCACTGCTCCTGGAAATAGATTCACACGGCTCCCTGTTCTAACTTTCGGTCCATTATTTATTTATTTCTGTCAGTAACTGGACCTCCTGGTTATCCCCTTCTCTGTTCTCATTGTTACAAACACCAAACTAAAGGATGTTGGTTTATTTCTGTGTGGATTTTGTTTGTTTGTTAACTTGCTGTATTACCTACTACTGGAGAAACAATGCAGTGCACTATCCAATCTAGACATGAGGACCACAGTCCTAACAGGAGAGACCCAGGCACATGGGGGTCCTAGGGCCACCTACCTCCTATTATCTCCAGAGATATCACCATCCACGTTAGTGTTCAGTTAAATGCTGGTCTGGGCCTTCCTAGTCACCTTTATTCTGTTCCATTTTCAGTACCTTCAATGCAGTCCTCCTGTGGACTGTGTCATCCCTCAGGAAAAGCACTCCCTTGGGGTGTCCAGCTTTGACCTGCCTCTCTGACCATGATCTTCTGATCTTACAGCTAAAACCCGCATCAGGTGCCACTGAATTTCACCTTTTCCCTCATAATCATCATCCTGATTTATTCCAACTTGTAATAATCCATTGTCCTCCTTTTTTCCTTTTCTTTCTTTTTTTTTTTTTCTGATCTTTCTAACCAGGATGGAATCAATGGATAACCATTTTTACGTATTCCACAGAACATCCTGGGCTTACTGGTACCCTTCACACTTTCTAAACATATTTTTTTCAGTTTCTCCAATAATTTCTGGAAGAAATTGTTTTCTTTCTTACTTGCTTCTGAGTTTTCTAAGGTATCAAGTCATGTAACCCTACCAGGTAATCCCATTTGTTATTCTTGCTGTAACATCAGCTGGGATCTCGATGTCACTAGATGCACCTCAGTATCACAGTTTGACAACCTCTCCTCTTTCACATGCCAGGTGATCCAGGCTGTTCTCCTGGGTTCCCAGCATCACCCTGCTTTATCCTCTACTCCTGACCCTTTCATAGCCACCCGTTGTAAACTTGTGCAACAAGGTACCTGACATTTGGTGGGTGCTCAGTTAAAGGTTTGTTGAAAAAATGAGCAGGTCTCCCCCTCTACTTCAGTATCTCCCGTACCTCTTTCTTTGCTTCCTGTCTTCCCGTTAGTGCTTATGTTCTGCCTGAACTCCTGAACACGGCACCCCTTGTCTTTTCGGTCTCATTGGCTCCACCATCTCTACCTACCAACCTGCTAGTTCTTGAACTCAGATTGTCATTTATTGTCTATTAGACAAATTCCTTCTATTACCCCTTACAACATCAGTGTCCCACTTTCTCTTCCTTGTGTTTTCCTTGTTGCTCTTGTTTTTATGCCTCTAGGGTTCATTCATCGCTTGACTTCTACTCCCATGAGGAATTAATACCACTCCTGCTCCCTCCCACACTACCACTCCCTTTCCAGAAAATTCTCCCTGCTTTCACCATCTTTCT